CCGCCAGCGAGGCACTCATCTAATTATACTGATTGTCTCATCACGTGCTAATTCAACTGTCACAGTAGCTCCTGCTCAATTTCGCAATTATCAGCAGAAAAAAAAAATTCAAATTCCTATCAAGCCACTCATTAATTAAATCCTTTGAGTTGATTAAACTCTCGGTTACCCTTGCACTTGAATATTCAGATTAAAATCGTGGGAAAAAAAAAAACAGCGACTCGGCGAGATGATTAAATGCCCAACAGCCCCACAAAAGTCAGACGTAACAGAACGACACCCACGAGGCATTTACGACGGTGGAAAATTGTCTGGGGGGCCATGACTAACCTCGAGTAACTAACGGCGGCTGAAATCTCAACTATTCGTTATTTATTCATTTCCCAGGAGGAGGAGAAGGAAAATTAGGATCAATTTTTATTAAAAAAAAAACAGATTTATTGTTATATTTTGTTTTGCAAATACGCACCTGCGTATGTATTCATTACAATTAGAATTGTTCAATTTAGTCAATTATAATTTTCTCCCATTTATTCACTTACAAATTGAATTAGCTCTCGTTTATAGTGCGGTAGATCAGTATTACCTCAGTACACTGATAGACTGATTCATTTATTCCAAACGAGATTTGTTAACTGTTAACGAATGGACATTTGCTGAGACCAAATAGACCCCCGTCTCCAATCAAATCCATTCGTTAACAATAACTAATCCTTTCTATCAGCGTAGGACTATCCAATTATCTCCACTAGTAATCCAGAGGATGTATGGGAGTTTTGAATGGGTTGCATTAATGGCAATTGCCATTTTTTACCTTCAGGATGAATATGGGAAGGTATTTTTATGAATTACCATTCGAGAGGACTACATTGCGTGTAACCTTGGCACGTATTTCCAAGAAACAGAGTTTTGTGGTGGAGGAGGGGGCGGGATGCGGTCGATGTGACGGCGTCAGACCTTCTGGCACCGCACAATTCACGTTCTGACTGAATCTGTTTACAAAATTTCATTTCCACAAAAAAAAATCATAGATTTTATTGTGGTGATGGTAGTTATTTTTTGCTTTGAAATATATTTAAATAAATTCACCATTTTCTGGGAATGAAATTCATGGAAATTGTATTGGATATGTAAATACCATTTCGATTCGTCAGACCGATGAATCAGCGTGGAAAATTCAATTGTTGAGGCGAATTGATGGGCATTGAATGTGATTATAATTGTGGTGAAAAGCTTGGGAAATTTTCGATGTACAATACTATTTATAATTCCATTTTGCTCCAATAGTTCCGCTGGTGCAGATGAAAAACCTTTTGCAAGATGAAATAGTTTTTTTTTCTCAATAATTGAGGAGTTATTAGAGCGGAAGTAGCGTTTGAATGGTATTTTGAATCAGAAATTGCGATGAGAATATTGGGGATTGAATGAAGAATGTCTGGTTGGTTTCAAAATAGTTTTAATGTCATGAATACATTAAATTTTCTTCATACAATGTTCAGTGATGAAGACACCTAAATGTGTCGCCATCAAGTTTGATTGGAATAGTATAATTATGCGTAAGGTCAGAGGGCAGATGTTGGATATGCAAATTGGTATTACTCGACTGGGTTTAGAATCAAGAGCCCGTGTGTATATGCTGTCTGTTGCTGTCGACGCTAATACCGTTTATATCCTTTTGGGTATTGGATGAATTTGTGACGCTTCAAACCCACCTTCGTCATTACAATTAACGTAAATCAACAACAGTTGGTTATTTAATTTATCCCATTTTGATATGTAAAACTACGCAGAGTCAATTTATTTACAGCCAAGTGTGCAAAATGATAAAACTGAGATCATTTTCGCAGAGTTGAGGACATTGTCTTAATGTTGTTTTCATCTCATCATTGAATATATCTCCATTCACTACAGCATTAGTAATTGATTAATTTATTGATTAAAATATTGTTTGCAAATGGAAATTTCATCCTTCAATTGTAGATGATAAATTATTCAATCGTTAATTACAATAAATGGTTGAAACCATCAAGTCTATATAAAAAATATTTGCTGTTTGTTTTGATTCTCGATTCTTTCGTTTTTTCCTTTCAATTTTTGATTTTTGTTTCTTTGGCTTTCCAATTTGGATAGAATATAGAAAAAAGTTTGACTCATTTGTACCTATTAAACCGGATCTGGATGCGGTGCCAGTAGTTGCATGCTGGTCGATTTAGCGATCTGTAATCACCCAGAAAATTGAGATAGCATGGTGAAGTGGAGAATGAGAAAAAAATGGGGAGAGTTGAGAATCAATACACTTGTGCCAACTCACTCGTACTCACCTGTTGTTTAGATTGCTTTGGTTTCCTAGCGTAGACATTCAGGACACGACAGTTACATGCCACTGACAGTGCAACAGCAAGCCCCTATTAGAACAGAGTTAATGAATATAATTCTGTGAAACCAAATGGAAAGCATTTCTACAAAATTACGACAAGATTAGATTTTTTTTATATATGCTTCAAAAAGGATTTTATGCCACTCATGCCTGAAACCGGCTGGATTAGACACTCGACGCTTCGCGTCTCGTGTCTAATTCAGCCGGTTTCAGGCTTCGTGACATAAAATTTTGTTCAGTACTTGTTGGGAAATTTCGTCCTTAACGTGTGGGGTTTACAGCATGAGCCGAAGGCGAGTGATGTAACCACACACGTTAAAGACGATATTGCCCCACATGTGCTGAAATATACTATTTTATTTACAATCTATATCTAACAATTTCTTCTCGGAAGTACATTTTCCGGGGTCAATTATTAAAACTCATATAATATTTCCAGAGGAAAAGCCCTGAATTTGTAAATACATTGAAATTTTAATGATCTTATTAAATATAATAAAAAAAATGAAAGAACCTGTAGTGAATGTCCGGTGCAGAAAATAGCCCAGAGTACGGGCACTCTCCACACTCTGGATGCTATTCCACAGCCCGCAATGAGACCCACCGTTAGGCAAATCTTGAGAAATAGCATCAATTGTAGAGCCCGTCGCCTTTTCATTTTATCTCGTTGCTTCACGTCCAATTGCATACTGCATGTATATCTGCGAAAAATTCCTCATATTTCATAATAATGTTGAAATATAAGGGCAACGCTCCACTCGTTTTATTCCTATTTCCTTGGAAATTCTTGTTTCTGGGCGAGTATGAAAAATTATTTATTATTTCAGTACCGAAGTGGTAAAGGGTGATAAGTCGGTTTTTTTTCCGAAAATGAGTTATTGATGGAAAACGATTCTATATATTGTATTCGATATCTCCTATAAACGATTTGAGTAAAAAAAAATCAACTATATTTTTATTCAAGTGAAAAACGGAATAAGTCCTGAATTTCATTCTCAACTATCATAATTGCGAAATAATTCGACTGATATCTACATTCTCCTTTCATGGATACTTTTCATATTAATTTTATCATCCTTTACCGCTTCGCTACTGATTTATATCATTTTGTTTATGACAAATATGCTTTTCCAAAGCAATATAATCCCTCATGGCTTGAAAATTGCTTTCAAACGTTGGGAAATGCAAAAAGTTGGAAACAAAAGCAAAAAAAATTGTCAGCATCGAGACATGAAGTAAATTTTTTTATTAAACTCTCCATTGAATCGGCAAGTCTCCACCCTCTCCAATAGTGAATTTATCACCGTGGCTGAATGCGTTCTCCTCTCGGGTGATTCCATTTTCCACAATAAAAAAACAAGGAGTTTGCACATAACTCTTATTTGCTTTCCCACTTAACCCAACCCACAAATTCCATTATTTTTGTAAGGGAAATTCTAATTTAATATCGAGATGCAATTTATTGATTACCGTGCAACAATGGCCGCTTTGAGAAGATAATAACCCGAGATAAGTAGAAGTAGAACAATCGGTAGACCGTAAGTGTAGACTGTCGCTCGAGAGCCGAGAAACCTGAAAAAAAAATCGGGTGGAAGGGAAGATTAGATTGATGATATTAATTATTGGGGACATTTTTCGTTCATTAACTTAACTATTACGGTCTATTTATTAAAAACTCCTAATAACTCCTCGATCCTGATCGGAAATTATTATGACAGAGATATTCGCGATAAACCAGATTTTTCACCCTCCACCAGTCGGAAAAAAACCAGAGGACATAGACGTTAAATGAACTCTGACTTTGATAAAAGAAAAAAAAAGAATACAACGAAAGAATCGAGCTTGGTATCGTGTGGCAGGTTAATACTCCATCCCTTTTGTGTCCTTTCCATTGTCCTGAAATAGCATCCAAATGGCTTGGTTCTATGTTCATGATCAATTTATCATTCCACCGAGAGGCACTCGAGAAATTGGTAGCGATCCATCTGCATCCGAGTGCCAATATCATCCTCAAAGGGATAATTACATTCTGGAAATGCAATATAAGAAGTAGAAATTCTCCACAGAGAATAATAATCTCGAAGAAATGCAGAAGTAATACTACATCTCGATAATTCAGATAAAACCCAACTCCCACTGTACATACCTATGCGCACCCAAGAATTTACGGTAAAGAAGTGGAGAGTACTCGATGGAAAAAGATTAAAGTAAATGTAATAATATGACGTGGTAAGAAATCCGCTTGAGAGTGAATTCAACTTCTGAATGGTTGGATATATGGAATCAGGCTTTTATTGCACGTTGGAGGATCTCCTCCTGATCCTCAACACATTGACTAGTTTCAGTGTCACGCTTTGTATTATCTGCACTTCTAGAGGAGCTCTATGGCGAGTTAAATAAGAGACATGAATCCAAGGATAAAAATTTAAGAGATGGCAGTATTCAATATTCCCATCCAAAGGATCGATAGAGAAAAAAATTCATTCAAACCGCAGATAAAAAAAAGTAACCATATTCCCTGCAAAAAAAAATCACCCACCGTCCGCATTGATTCGTAAGTCTCATGTGGATGAAAAATGAGAGGAAAAAAAAATCTCACCAGCAGTTGAATGGCGTTAAATCCTTGATGTTCCACAGATCACTGCTCTCCTTGCTCTGGATGTAGACAGCTCCTACTAGCGTTATCAGCGGTGCTCCCCATGCAAATACACTGTACTTGAGATAAGTCGGTGGGTCATCGCGACACGGCACGGATGCCACTGTAGCGTATAGATGATGACACATTGCAGCTAACCAACAGACTACGGAGACTCTCAAGTATTGGAGGCTCAGACCGAGAGATATACATAATTCGGAATCCTAGAAAAAAGAAAAGGGAGAGGGTAGTTTAGATTGAGATCCACTGAATGATGTAGGGTAGCAACGAGGGTCCAAGAGAGAAGGGAGGAAGTGGTAACGGGCATCTTTCGGAGGATTTCACAGAGTCGTGACGAGAAAAGACAACGTTGTCAGCGAAAAGCGGAACATCCGATATCTATCCTAGAATTAAAACGGAATGTCTGACGCAATTTTTGACACTCAAACTTAATTCGAGTTTCTCTTCCGTTGAACGTGCAAGCTTTTTTATGGATTTTTAGTAATTCAGGAGCTCTCAGGACTCTGCAGAATTTATGCATTTTGCTTTCATACTTTTTTCTTCAATGTTCTCCACTGGGAGTATAAAATTTTTAATGATTCCATTGAAAACGACTTCAATTTATTCTCCAAAATTCTATGTTCGAGATTTATAACGTCATTCATCGTAATGGCTTTTTTTCCACAAATTTCACTGTCCCCATCTGTGAAAAAAAAACCCTTTTGGGACAGAAATTTCCAGTTTTTTCTATCAACTTTTTTTTGTCTCCACCGAGCTGGAAACCCTCAGTTTTTTAATGCAAGAACCCCTCTACCACACGCGTTACAAGTTTTCTGAGGTACTGTATACCTGTGTTCCAGTATAAAACGTCGTGAAGCCTTTGTGTGGCACGCCTGGAGATGCAGTCAGTATGGTAGAAAGCTTTCGTCTCACCTCCGGTGCGCTATCCGCATACAACCTATCGACCTCTCTTCTCGACTATTTACTGACCCTCCGAACCAGACGAGACCGTCCACATTACGAATGTCATTTTTTTGAATTGTGAGGTTTCGATTTAAAGTTGAATGGGGATGTTTTTTTTTGTTTTTATTTAGAGTTCCGCAATAGTTTCTGTATAAGCTCTTGTTATTCAGTTACTATTTAGAGTGTATTCATAAAGATTGTGAAAAAAAAATCTGCCAACAAAATTCAATTGATGAGTTTTTTATAACGAAACGAGTGCCGGCGATCGCTGAAAGTAGTGAATTTCATGGTTGAATTCATTGGAATGAAGAGAATTCTTTCCAATTAAATGGCCAATGAATGTCTTAGAGACTTCGGTTGAATCGGGTCAGAGAGCAAGTGGCCCTTTGTTGATGTTTAAACGTTGTTTTTTTTCTTAAATCACAAGAGTGATGCTCTAATATTAAATTCCATTTGTGAGGGCTTTAGTTTTAGAGACTCCAGCGAGCCCTGCTGTTAGTGCATAGGAAATTAAAAGGTTAACCGAAGCGCTCGATTCATTCTCATATATATATATATATTTTTTTTTTTCATTTACGCTCACTTGGTCGTAAATTTTTCACTCGAACCCACCCTATCCCCAATAGTCTGACTAATCCGCGCGTTTTCATTGATCCTTTTTTGTTAGTCTTGCTGTGAAGAGATTTACGTTATATTATCCATTGGGGTGAAGATGAAAACTGGTGATTCGGGAGGTTTTATTTTGAAGCTTAAATTGATTTTTCATTGCACTCATCAGTAGCATATTTAAAACAAGCCTACTTGGTTGTTGTTGCAATTGGGGTATCTGATGCACTTGAAGGAGACGAGCGCAATTGGAATCACGTGCATTTGCGCGAACATACCCACTGGGACGAATAGGAAACAACAAGTAGGGTGATGAAAGGGGACAGGGGGAGAGGATAGAGGATTGAGTGGAGTCAAAGCTGGGAAAGAGGAAGTGAACAGAGGGTTGAAATGAGATATACTGAGGTAAAGCACGTGAGAATGATGTTATCAGACTGATCGATTGTACAATGATGGAAAATGCGATATTTCAAAGGGGTAAAAGCAAACCTTGGGGATTTGCCAACTGGTTTAACAATTCTGTGTTAAATTATTTTACGTTTAAACTTTCTTGCATCTGCTTTACTGGATCGTTTCTTGAATTTTAGATGTTTTCGGAACTTGGTATGAGGGGCAAAGTTGTCGAAAATAATTTCGTAATTGTTGGAGAGTTTGAATGTGTGTCAACTAATTAATTCTGAGATAATTTCTCAGTAGAATTGTGTAAGTTTTGAGTTTGAGTTTCGGATGAATTTCAAAGGGAATTGTTAGAAAACTTGTGGTTTTTTTTTTTCAAATTTTAATTTTTTTCCTTGTGTTTCGATTTACTAAGATTTGCCTTTTGTCACAATACATTCCATTTATCCGCTAGATTAACCCTCAATTCACCGCAGATTCAACCAGTTTATAACAGTCGACATGCTATGTTGATTTGAATTCTAACGGGTCATTTGAATTCTACGGGCATCAAAGAGCATAAACATGGAAAGCCCATTGTTGAATATAACTCGTACACGTGGTTTGAAACCCACTGTCTGTGTTAATTCAGTCGTCCATTATCGATCGTTTATGTTCAAGTATCTCAAAACTGAGCTTCAGCCGTGAATTGCCAATGCCAACACATAAAATCTCGCAACATTGTCTCCATTTGAACTCAAATTTTCTATAAAAATAAAAAATCCGAAATGACCCACTATTCGGCATTCACACTTGACCATGGCTAACGACCTATTGTTTCAAGCGCATAGAGCCAATCGATGAGCACTCAACTTAATTCACTGTACAAGAGTAAAAGGTGAAAAGAGGGAAAAAAGTGGAATGGATACAGGGAAAATACATGGGGATCTATATAAAAGTCCATTGGAAATTCATCGGAATGTGTTGCCTTGAAATAATTCGTGAGTATTATTTCATGCTCAAAAGTGAGACGCTCTGAATTTGTAATTTGAGTGTTACTGCATGCATAAATGGGAGAGGGAATCGAAATTGAAAATAAATTCATCTCACACAAAGCTCACATCTTACTAGTGTTATTTTAAATTCAATCAGGTGAAGAAATTTATTTTCAATTGTACTTTCTCCCCAAAAAATTTATTATTTATGAGTTAGACAAGATGCTTATCCCTCGATGGGAGGGGACTTCTCCAAAAGGAGGATAAATAGTCTGCCACCTTTACCTTGTACACGATGGAATTTTTAGCCCTTTTTTATAGCAACTGAGCACAAGGGGGAGGAGGGTATAAACAGAATTTTTCAACAGATCGCGACGCGCTCGACACGAGTAAAATTTTAAACGCTAGGGTATTCTTACGAACAAGTTTTTATGCCAGCCCAACCCCCAGGGGAAATCTCAAGTATGGACAGCGTCTTTTCTTCTGTTTTTTTTTTACTTCTCCCTCGTCTTTATATTTCCGTGCACACCGGACGCTGTCTCACGCTGGAAAAAAGAAGGGTCTTCGAGGGTTTCACATACATAGGAAAAGTGGAAATTCATGTTTGTACGTCCTTCAGACGGTTTTTTTCTATCTTCAGAGACAATTTTATTATTAATTTAATTCTGCTAAAACGAATTTTTCATCATGTTTTTTTATACGTCAAAAAAAAATTCAATCAATCTGTATTATGAATGCCGGCACACACTCGTTGCTCGGATTGGAACATTTTACAGCGTCACTAAAAATCAAGTTGACAATTTCACGGGCATATTTCCTCGCAGCAATTGCAAGTCATCAGCGTAAAGTATACAACACAGTCCCAGGTGGAAATTATATAGACTGACGATGGGAACAGGACAGGCTTTGAGTATTGCAGGTCAGTACGTCCAGGCTTATTCGAGCCTCTGCAAGGGCTCAAAATGAAAGTTACTATCAATTACTTTCCTTAATTTTTATGTTAATAACGATTCGTTAATAGTGGTGAAAACAGTAACATCACCTACAAACAGCCATAATTTTCCGCCAAGGCATATATATAAACTACCCGAGTCGAGGATTTGGTTCTGATTGGAGGTACACAGGTCTTTCAAAATCTCTCCAAACCTAGATTGACCTGGTAAGTCCTAATCAGTTCTGCGACGTACTTTTCCGGAGACCATTCGAATCCTCAGTTCTTTTCGGCCCTGAGAAGTCCTCCTCTATCGATTTTTTTTGGCGATTTCGTTTTTCGCGATTATCTCGGAAACTATGAG